ACTGGACGTCCATGGTAAAGATGAGGTGTTGGGGACCGGGGAATTGGAAGTTCTGGAGGAGGTGGAGGTTGTGGGTGGTGTCACAGACGTAGGTAGGGAGTTCCTGGACTGAGGGGGAGAAAATGGAGTTGAGATAGGTGGAGATAAGTTCGGTGGGGCAGGAGCAGGCAGAGACAATGGGTCAACCAGGGCGGTCAGGTTTGTGGATTTTGGGAAGGAGATAGAAGCGGGTGGTGTGGGGTTGGGGAACGATGAGGTTATCGAAGGGTTGTTCAGAAATGTAAAGTCATCAGGTCAGCCACAATCACAACGAATTGGGGTGTAGGTTGGAAGGGCTGAATGGCCTCTTCCTGCTCCTTATTCACAAACTCGTAAAGTTCATTATGTAGCTCTGGGGTATATTCTGTCAGATTAAGAGATAGCAAGGACTGCCGATGCTGTAGTCAGAGATAACACAGTGTGGAGCTGGGGGAATACAGCAGGCCAGGCAGCATCAGAGGAGCAGGAAAGCTGACGTTTTGGTACTGGACCCTTCCTCAAACTCCTGGAGAAGGGTCCCAACCTGAATCATCAACATTCCTGCTTCTCTGATGCTAGTTGACCTGCTGTGTTCCTCCAGTTCCACACTGCATTATTTATGTCAGATTAACACTCCCTTGAAAACTCGTGAAAACTTTTTACTGACAGCTTCTCCCATAGACCAGTCCCCTGAGACACCAGGAGATGGCAGCCGTGAGCTACATAAACAGAAACAGGGAGCACTCCCTCAGCACTGACCCTCTGACAGCACGGCGCTCCCTCAGCACTGACCCTCCGACAGTGCAGCACTCCCTCAACACTGACCCTCCGACAGTGCGGCGCTGCCTCAGCACTGACTCTCCGACAGTGCGGCGCTCCATCAGCGCTGACCCTCTGACATGCAAAGCTGTCGAGGAATGTTCAACGGGAACATTGCTGAGGCAGTTCTACTCTGTATCTTACCCCGTGCGGCCCCTGTTCTGGGAGTGTTTGATGGAGAATAGTGTAGAGGAGCTTTTAGTCTGTATCTAACCCTGTGCTGTCTCTGTCCCAGGATGGAGGGACAGCGTAGAGAAAGCTTTACTCAGTATCTAATCCGTCCCCTTCCTGGGAGTGTTTGTTGGGGACAGTGTAGAGGGAGCTTTACTCTGTATCTAGCTCTGTGCTGTCTCTGTTTAAAGGGGACAGTGTTTTTTGTAACACTGTTCAGATGGGTAGAGGAGCTACAGTTTCATTTTGTAAGAGTAAAGGGTGCTTGACTTTACAGAAGCTAACAAGATGTATCTCAGGCTGCTTGGGCAGGTAACAAAAGAGGATTCAGAGTCCCCGCCAGAAATATTTAATACTTTGCTGGGCACAGGTGAAATGCTAGAATGCTGGAGGATCGCTCACGTAGTTTGTTTATTCAAGGCAACAGTGATAAACCGGGTAAATACAGACCATTTTGTCTGAGATCTGTGATAGAGAAATTATTGGAAAAAACTGTGAGGGACAGGCTTGATCAACACTTGGAAAGGCAGGGATTGGTCAGGGATAGTCAGCATGGGTTTTTCAGGGGGAGATCCTGTCTGACAGATTGAGTGTTTTTTTGAGAAGTGTACTAAATATAATGATGAGGATAGTGCAGTTGATATGTCTACATGGATTTCAGTACAACCTTTGACAAGGTCCCACGTGGAAGCCTGATCCAAAACGTAAGAGCACAAGGGATCCAAGGCAAGTTGGCAAATTGGATCCAAAAAAGGAGGCAGAGGGTGTTTTTATGATTGGAAGCTTGTGACCAGCAGTATACAGCATGAATCGGTGCCTGGAGCTTTGCTGTTTATCATGTACTTTAATGACCCTGGCTATGAATGTAGAAGGTATAGTTGGTAAGTTTGCAGATGACATAATGAATGGTTCTGTTGCTGATAGTGAGGTGGATGGTCTCAGGCCACAGTCTGATATTGATCAGATGGTAAACTGAGCAATGTCAAGTGGGATTTAATTCCAATCAGTGCACTGTGCTGCCTTTTGGGAGATCTATTCACGGTTGGATTTACAGAATGAATGGTAGGTCCCTAGGGAGTACTGAGGAACAAAGGAACCTTGGTGTACAAGGACATAGATCCCTGAAGGTGTCAGCACGCAGGGAGACAGGGAAGAATGCATTTGGGCTGCTTGCCTACATTAGCCGTAGAATATAGGAGCTGGGACTGTTCTCCTTAGACAGAAGCTTAAGAGAGAGATTCATTGAGTTGTTTGAAACCACAAGGCAGTCAGGGACAGAGCAGGGAGAGAGAGAAACCGTTCCCCGCTGGTGGAAGAATTGAGAGTCAGAGGGGACATAGGCTGAAGCTGATTGGCCAATAAGGCTTTATGGGGAGAAACATTTTCACTCAGCAAGTCCTCAGAGCCTGGAAATTTGCTGACTGACAGCGTGGAGGTGATTACTTCAATCCTAGCTTTTGAGAGAGAGTTGGATCATTATCTGAAGAGAAGGTGGATGTTACAGGTGGAAGTGGGGAATCAATGTCATGGAGAATATGGGCTGATCATGGCAATTTGATTCATCGTTGCTGTCATTGCGCTTCTGTCAATGTTGTCATGAACTGTGACCCACACAACTCAGATCCACTGTTCCCTCCTGCTCTGCTGTGCTCTGACCACCATCAGGATCTATAATAGAGGAAAAGACCCGGTGGTACAGTGAGTCTGTGACAGTCACAACCCTCTCGCAATTCTAATCCCATTTCCCAGCACTTGGCATCATAAGTACACATCTAAATCCTTCTTCAATGAGATGAGAGTTTCTGCCTCTCCCACCCTCATAGGCAGCGAGTTCCAGATTCCCACCACCCTCTGGGTGTGAAAGATTTTCCCTCACATCTCCTTTAAACCTCTTGCCCCTTACCTTCAACTATGTCCCCTGGTCAATGATCCCTCCATCAAGAGAAAATGTTTCTTCCTGTCTACCCTGTCTATGTGTCTCATAATTTTATACATCTCAATCAAGTTCCCTCTCAGCCTCCTCTGCTCTAAGGAAAACAACCCCAGTCTGTCCAATTTCTCTACATCACTAAAACTCTCCAGCCCCAAGTCAACATCCTGGTAAATCTCCCTCTGCACCCTCTCCTAGTGCCATCACATCCCACCTATAATGTGGTTTCAGGAACTGCACATTACTCTAGCTGTGCCCTAACCAATATTTTATACAGTTCCAGCATCACCTCCCTGCTCTTAAACTCTCTCCCTCAGCTAATAAAGCCAAGTATCCCATAATGCCTCCTTAACCATTTTACCCACACATCCTGATAATTTAAGGGACCAGGGGAGATGCACACCAGAGATCTCTGATCCTCGTCACTTCCCAGGGTAAGACACAGAGTACTGGGACAGGGAGGGGCTGACAGACATAGGTAACACTCGTGTGTTTCCGAGTGAGATCGCTTTGCAGATGTCTCCATCCTGCCAACAATCGCGTGCCAACCTCAGCACAGCAAGTCTCCCCGGTGGTTCCTTGAGTCCCTGGCTTTGTCAGTAACACCCACCTCCGTCACGCACAGGATGTGGGAACCATCTCGCAGTCTGCCAGTTTTCACACACTGTGTCCACAATGTCCTGTTCCAGCAGCCACAGAGCCATTCGGCTGCACGCGATGTGGCTGTGAGCATGCTCTGTAAAAGCTGCCAGCCTTCAAGGGAGGTGACACTCCCACCTTCACAAGAACTGTCCCCCAGGGAAGCGGGACCTTCGCCCCTCTGCTCTGTAACATCCCTCTCCGCACCAGCATCCACCCACCCCTTCTTTCATCTCTCAACCCAATCTCCAAATCCTTCTCCCTAACCCCCCTTCCTGTATTTATCCAGCTTTAGACCCCAACCCCAAACACATCAACAGCATGCCTTCAATCATTCCCTGTGTGAGTGAGTTCACCATCACCCCCCCAATCTCCCCTCCACTCCTCCCCGTGGGAGTGAGTCCCCCATTCTCCTCTTGGGATGAAATTTCCTCTGAATTTCCCAGTTGGGTTTATTCAGAACTGTCATTTCACTGACTCTCCTCTCAGTTCCCCAGTGACTCACCACACAGAGAGAGAGAGAGAGAGAAAAAGAGAGACATGAACATTCAGTGGAATGTCACATCCGTGACATATCCCACTTGCATAATCAGCAAGACCACAGCATGGGGAACACAGTTGGTCTGAACAGATGCTGACAGAGCTGCTGAGTTTCTCCAGATCTTTCTGGTTTTGTTCCAAATGTCTCAAAAAATTCCCATCCTGAAGACAGTCCCCAGAAAGTCACGATATCAAGGACTGTCCCTGTCTTGGGAGTGTTTGATGGGGGGGAGCAGTGTAGAGGGAGATTTACTCTGTATCTAACCCCATGTTATCCCTGTTCTGGGTGTGTTTGATGGGGACAGTGTAGAGGAAGCTTTACTCTGTATCTAACCCCGTGCTGTCCCTGTCTTGGGAGTGTTTGACGGATGTACTTTACTTTTAGTTTGTAAGAATAGAGGAAGCTTTACTATGTATCTTGTCCCATGCTGTTCTGCGAGTGTTTGATGTGGCCAGTGTAGGGAGAGCTTTACTGTATCTAACTTCATGCTGTAACTGGCACAGGTGACATCACAGACAGCGCCTACTGCAGTCAAATAGGTGCCACATCGGGTTTGTGCATTCACAAAGCAGGTCACATCTGAGTGGGGCAAAGGAGCCCCCCAGGAATCAGTGTCCGAGGTCAGGGCCGTGATTCTCAGTGCCACCAATGTCTGGGGGCTGGGGTTGGATACTCGGGTTGTTTGGGAAAATGCTGGCAAAAGGTAAAAAAGTACAAAGCGTGAAGTTTGTAAAATGATGATAAAAGAAGTGGAGCATTTAGAACACGCAACTGTACAGCACAGGAACGGGCCCTTCAGCCCACACTATTGTGCCAAACATGACACCAAATTAAACTAATCCCTTCTGCTTGCCCTTGGTTCATATCCCTCCATTCCTTGCATATTCATATGCTTATCTAAAAGCCCCTTAAATGCTCTTATCATATCTGCCTTTACCACCATCCCCTGGCAGTGTGTTCCAGACTCCTACCATTCTGTGCACAAAACCTTGCCCTTCATATTTCCTTTGAACTTTCCCCCTCTAACCTTAAATGCATGCCCCCTACTTTTTGATATTTCATCTCTGGGCAAAAGATTCTTACTGTCAACCCTATTAATGCATCTCATAATATTAAAAACTTTATCAACTCTCCCCTCAACCTCTGCCACTTCAGAGAAAACAGCCAGCGTTTCTCTAGCTTCTCTTTATAGCTCATACCCTCTAATCCAGGCAGCATCCTGGTAAATCTCTTCTGCACCTTCTCAAAAGCCTCTACGTCCTTCCTGTAATGTGATGACCCGAACTGAATGCAATACTCTAAATGTGGCCTAATCAAAGTCTTATACAGCTGCAACAAGACATTCTGACTCTTGTACTCAGTTCTCCAACCAATAAAGGCAAACATGCCATACACCTTCTTTACCATCCTGTCTACTTGCCTGGCTACTTTCAAGGAGCTATGGACTTGAACCCCAAGATCCTTCTGTACGTCAATGCTGTTCAGAGTCCTGCCATTAACTGGAACCTTTTTCTTAGCATTTGATCTCTCAAAGTGCAGCACCTCACATTTATCTGATTAAACTCCATCTGCCATTTCTCTGCCATATCGCAACTGATCTATATCCCTGTGTATCCTTCGACAACCTTCTACACTGTCCACAACTTCACCAATCTGCAAACTTACTAACCCACCCATCTACATTTTCATCCAAGTCGTTCATATATATCACATATTTGGTAGACAGTGTGTCTGCGGTGAGGGAAGCAATATGAGCTGGATACACCTGTATCTGAATTCAGAGGTGGAGGAAAGGACGTTACAAATGTCACGAGCTCTAAGTAGGTCAGTCGCTGGGGTTGAGGCAGAAATTATAAAAAGAGCTGAACAGGCGGAAGATGAGATGAAATGGCAAAAGAGAGAGGAAACAAAACAAGGGAGTTGAGTAGCACCAAAATGGAAGAGGCCGAGGAACAAAACAGATGCCCTGAAGAGGTACAAATGGCAGGGCAGTAAGGGAGCAGCGACAGAAAACAGGAGAACGCAATCTGATGTGGTAATGCCCAGCACCTGGGGACCCTTTCGGGGTCAGCTCAAGCTCCTTTGGAACGGTGGAAACAGACCGAGGATGGAGATATCAGTGTCAATGTCAGGAGGGTAGCAGTGGGGACGGAGAGAGATGTATGCCCCCTCCTTTTGAATGTTAACCAATGAGACTGCTGCTTCCTCAATACCGAGCAGGTCACACAGACTCACAAAACTCCCCCAGAAAAGAAAACCATGGAAATGAGAGTTTATAGAATCAAGGTTTCTTTTTATTCATCATTTGCAATGCAAATACTGTCTTGTGCACAAGAGAGGGAGAAGAGGGATCAATGGAGGGAAGGAAGGAAGGAAGGAATGAAGGAAGGAAAGGCACAGTTATGGTACATGTGCTCGCAAGTGAACTTGTCCTCAACAGCTAAGTGCACCCTCGGTTAACAGCACAGCGACTATCGATAGCCAGCTCTTAAACCACATCCCAAACCCTAATAATACCCAACACTGCACAGAGTGCTGACACCTCATTTCTGGGAGATGGCAGGTGGGGAGTAACAGGGGAAAGAGAGAGAGAAAAAAACACAGATAGAGAGACGGAGGGAAACAGAGAGAAAGAAAAACAAACACAGACAGAAAAAAACTAGAGAGAGAGAGTGAAAGACAAAAAACAAAGACAGAAAAACAGAAACAGATAGAAAGCGAGGGAAAAAGGAGAGTGAAAGAGAGAAAGAATTTGAGAGAGAGGAAAAGAAAGGATGATAAAGTGAATAAGAGAGTGAGTGAGAATGGGAGGGGAAGAGAGAGAGAGGGGGGAAGATGAGAGAAGTGTGGAGGTAGATGGACACCGAGAAAGTTTAGAGGATAGGTAAACTTGGCGAGAGGTAGGGTGGGGGGGTGAAGAGAGAGATCACTTAAGAGTGTGAATTAACTCTCCCCCAGCCCAGCCCCTCCCGCTTCCTGCCCCCCCTCACTCCTGAATCTGAGGGCATTTGGGCAACACAGGGTTAAAATCTGGGGGGCAGCGACAGAAACTCGTTAAAGCAGATCAGGGTCTAATCACTGAGTGGGCACGGGGCAGAAAACGAGTGTGAAAGCCTTTTTAAAAAAAAAACTTTTCTTTCTTGTGAAACTTTTACACCCCTCCCTCCACCTACCCACCCCCCACACCCCCTCCCAGGGAGGGGGAAGCAAACTGATGCTTCCTTTGTTCAAGGGGGTTGGGGTAAGTGGGAGAGTGAAGGGGTATTTAGTGTGGGTTTACGGGACAGAAATCTGAAAGGGGCTTCCTGGGATGTGATGATCTCCCCATTTGACAACCAGAATGTAATTGCCCTTTTCTTTTAGAATGTAGGAGACAGTGTAGAGTTTGCTTCCGAGGTGTTTAACCAGAACTTCCTCACAAGGGACCTTCGGGCCTTGCACCCCAACCAGGAGCATGTTGGAACCTGAGGAGAGGAAGAGAGAAAATCAAGCCTGGTTGGTAAGCAAGGTAAACTTGGAGGGTATCCATATCAGCTCTCGCCTAGTCAAGCAACCCGACCAGCGTCCCTCATTCCCACGTCACCCCTCCTCCACCACTGAGCCTGTTTCAAAGTTGTTCAATCTCTTCTCCTGTGTCGTCACCACTCGCTGCATTAAAACCGTACGACTAAGCCATTTGGCCATCGAATCTGATTCACCAGTCAATGACATCCCACTCCTGCCTTTACCCCTGTCACCCCTCGATTACCCCACTTACCCCCAACTTTACAGAAAAACCTGTGCTTTCAGTCAATTCCGAAAAGGAGGGGGAGACAGGCAGATCTGCGGAGTGCGCGTGGATTCTATCAAACCCTCAGTGACTGTGGCGGTCCCTGGGTGCGGTGAGCTGGAACTGTTCCCAAATTCAAATCGGGTATCGGAGTCTATCCCTTCACCCCACACCAACCACAATTCCCCGCCACCCCCCCACCCCAGAAATACAAGGCCCTGGCGCCTCACCAGCTTTGCTGCAGTCCACTGTGAAGCAGTTCTTCTGGCCAACATAGGCCTTGCTGAGGCCCAGGCCTTTGGCAACGACCTTGCTGCTGTCGGAGTCAGGCTTCGGCCCAGCACCCTGGGGGCTGATGGAAGCTGTGCGGCAGGCACTGTCCACCAGCACCGAGCTGGTCTCATGGAGGCTATGGCTGCTTACCAAGTGCTGGCCTGGGAGCCGGTTGGGGGGATGGGGGTTAGCGGGTGGTGGCGATGGGAGAAGGGAGGAAAGGAAAGAAGGGAGGAAAGGAAAGGAGGGAGGGAGGAGGAGATTAGGGGGCAAGGTGAAGAGGAGTGAAAACAAGAGGGAATGAGGACACAAGGAGAGCAGGGAGGACCAGAGGGAAGAAAGGGGAGAGAATAGGGAGGTAGAAGAAGACAGGGAGAGAGGGAGGAGAGGAAACAGTTTTAAAAATATTATTGAAGGGGAACTAGCCCAGAGCCAACTTCATACACAAGTGAAGACTTCAATAGTCGAATGAGAAATGTAGTGGGAGCTAAGGAATGTTAACAGGGGACCCCATGGGGAACTCAGGAGGCCATCACACCCCACCCCAGCGACTCCGACTGACCTCAGAGCTTTACCCTTCTACACAACAGTCCCCTCCCTATCTCCACCACCTCCTCCTCCAGCCCCCTGCACCCCTCCCTGTCTCCACCACCTCCTCCTCTAACCCCCTGCACACCTCTCTGTCTCCACCACCTCCTCCTCCAGCCCCCTGCACCCCTCCCTGTCTCTACCACCTCCTCCAGCCCCTATGACCTTTCAAGATCTCTACTGGTGATGGGAGCTGCAGAGCTGAGGCCTAAGCTCCCTACATATGCCCCATGTCTACCCCTCCCCCTGTATGCCAACACCGCACCCCCACCTCCACCTACCCCTCCCCCTGTATGCCAACCCCACACCCCCACCTCCACCTACCCCTCCCCCTGTATGCCAGCCCTGGTGCGGTTACGACGTGATTACAGTGTGGTTACGACACGGTTACAGTGCGGTTACGGTTGGTTACGGCACGGTTACGGTTGGTTACGGCACAGTTACGGTTGGTTCCAACACGGTTACGGTAGGTTACGGCACGGTTACGGTGCAGTTACGATTGGTTACGGCACGGTTATGGTGCAGTTACGGTTGGTTACGACATGTTACGGTGCAGTTTCGATTGGTTATGACACGGTTATGGTGCAGTTACGGTTGGTTACAACACGGTTATGGTACAGTTAAAGTTGGTTACAATGCGGTTACGGTACATTAAAGTTGGTTACGACGCAGTTATGGTGCAGTTATGGCCCTTTTCTGGCACGCTTCTTACCAGTGACTTTGACTTTGAAGGGGCTGCCAACAATGTGGTAGGGGCCTCCGTATTTGATGGAGATCAGGTAGTTTCCAGGAGCCATGGGGGTGTAGGTCACCTTGTAACCCTCAGGGCACTCAACACAGTTCATCGTAACCTTGGACGGCCCATCGATGGTGACGCTCAGGGCCCCGGGTCCAGCATTCTGAGTGTTCACAATAAACTCTGCAGGAACTCCTGAGGGTCAGAGCATAGGATCAAGCGTGGGGGAAAGGGGTTACATATTTTCATAAAAAAGAACCACAACAAACACACATCCCAGCAGATAGGGAGAGAGAGGAGTGAGAGAGGAAGTAGGGGGAAGAGAGAGATGCAGGGGAAAGGAGTAAGAGAGAGAGAGAGAGAGAAGGGGGGAAGGAGCAAGTGAGTGAGACAGAGGAAAGGAGCGAGGGGGGAAAGGAATAAGAAAGAGAGAGGGAAGGAGTGGGAGGGAAGGGGAAAGAACGAGGTGTAGGAACAGGGAGGGGAAGAAGCGAGGTGGGGAAAAAGAAGGGAGGGTCGGAGGAGAGAAGGAGTGAGGGACAGAGGAGAGAATGGAGGAGGAGGGAAAGAGAGAGACAGAGTGACAGAGAGAGGGGGGTGGAGGAGCAAGGTGAGGAAGGAGTTTGAGAGAGCCAGAGAAAAGGAAGGAGTGAGAGATTGGGAAGGAGCGGTGCAGAGTGTGTAATGAAAGGGGGGAAGGAATGAGAGACGGGGAGAACAAGGGGGGTGATGGACTGGGACGGAAGGAACGAGGGTGGGTGAAAGAATGACAGGGGGGAAGAAACAAGGTCGGGGGAGAAAACTTGAGAGAGGCAGGAGAGCGAGATAAGGGGATGGCGGTGAAAAGAGAGAGGGTTGAGTGAGAGAGAGAGAGAGATAAGCAGGGAGAAGGGAGTACAGTGGGGCTAGTCGAGGTGCAGATAATGAAACATTAGCTGATAGTATCTCACCAGTGAGTCCTCCCTCAAGACCAGCACCAGATGCAGAGACCATCCCTGGGTCACCAGCTTGCCCTGGCTCTCCAACCCGGATCTTGAAGGGGCTTCCAGGAATGTGAGAGCCATTAAACTTCACATCAATCAGATAGATCCCGTTCTCCCTCGGGATAAAGCGAACAGCATATTTATCTGGAACAGAATCAAAGAGAGCTTACCAAAAAACAGGTGTGAACAGAAACAGGCAGAATAATGGAGATTGAAGGACAGCTCTATCTAACCAAATGCTGTCCCTGTCCTGGGAGTGTTTGATGGGGGACAGTGTAGAGGAGCCTTTACTCTGTACCTAGCCACGTGCTGACCCTGTCCTGGCAGTGTTTGATGGGGGTGGAGGGGGGACAGTGTAGAGGGAGCTTTACTCTATACCTAGCCATGTGCTGTCCCTGCCCTGGGAGTGCTTGATGTGGGACAGTGTAGAGGAGGCTTTACTCTATACCTAGCCATGTGTTGTCCCTGTCTGGGGAGTGCTTGATGGGGGACAGTGTAGAGAAGGCTTTACTCAGTACCTAGCCACGTGCTGACCCTGTCCTGGCAGTGTTTGATTGGGGAGGGAGACAGTGTAGAAGGAACTTTACTCTGTATCTAACCTGTGCTGTCCCTGTCCGGGGAGTGTCTGATGGGGGACAGTGTAGAAGGAGCTTTACTCTGTATCTAACCCAGTGCTGTCCCTGTCCGGGGAGTGTCTGATGTGGGACAGTGTAGAGGGAGCTTTACTCTGTATCTAACCCTGTGCTGTCCCTGTCCTAGGAGTGTTTGATGGGTGGGGGTCGGGGAACAGTGTAGAGGAAGCATTACTTTGCGTGCAGCCCCACAGCTCTCAGTTGAAATACCTTCGTCAATCTCAGAGACACAGCATTCTTCGAGGGCTCCTGATGGACTGTGCACCTTGGCATCAATCACTCCCTTCGCACCGTTTAAGCTGACTGCAAAGGATGCTGGATGATTCACCTTTAGCCCTGACTCCTGGAATCACAACACAGCAATGTAGAGAACAACAGTACCTTACCCCCTTCCAGGCCAGAAGACCAGCCCTGAGGCCTGTGGCCTAGACCTCCCTCAGCCCCACTCCACATGCACGGCGCTGTGGAGAGAGAGAGACTGGGAGAAACTGGGATCCTTCTCCTCACATCGAAGAAGATTAAAGAGGAGATTGAATCGAGGCTTTCAGAATAACGAGGCTGTTTTTTGTCGGGTTTTTAAAGGGTCTCACTAGATGTGGGCTTCACCTTCTGCTCAGAAGGAGATCATCCTTCTCTGACACATCCACAAAATGGAAGCCAGTCCATCTATCAACAAGGTTTTCTCTCGTCTGGGCCCAACTATGATCACCCGTCACTAATTGCCCCTCGAGAAGATGGGGGTGAGCTGCAGTCCCCGTGTGGTGCACAGAGGCATTGAAGGAACAGCCAATATCATTCCAAGTCAGGATGGTGTGTGGCAGGTGGGGGGGAGCTTGGAGGGAACATTCCAGGGGGTGGTGCATCTGCTGCCCCTTGTGCTTACAATGGGTAGAGGGTGTGGCGGGTTTGGAAGGTGCTGTCAGAGGAGCCTTAGCAAGCTGTTGCAGTGTGTCTTGTAGACATTAGGCATTGCTGCTGCTGTATGTCAGTGATGGAGGGAGGGAGGGAGTGTTGAAGGTGGGGATTAGTGTGTCGATCGAGCAGGGATGGGGGTTGGGGGTGGGGGGGACTTTGTCCTGGAAAGTGTCAAGTGTTGTTGGAGCTGCACCCGTCCAAGCAGGTGGGGAATATTCCATCACCCTCCTGACTTGTGCCTTGTCGATGGTGGAACAGGTTTTGGTGGGGGGGGTGCAGTCAGGAGGGGAGTTACTCGCTGCAGGATTCCCAGCCTCTGGCCTGCTCTTGTAGCTGCAGTATTGATATGGGGCTGGGTCCAGTTCAGTTCCTGGTCAATGGTAACCCCCAGGATGTTGTTGGGATAAAAAGGTTACAGAGATAGGGAGGGGGTGTAGGGGGCTGGTGGAGGTGACAGAGATAGG